CTTGATTGAGGTAGCTGGCTTGGCTAGGTCGGCCTACTGGCGACATGAAATGGCCGTCTTGCTGGTCGAAAGAAATCTCCATACATCGGCGTAATTATCAATTTTACGCCCACACTGCTGTCACCAATTTGTCGTGTTGGGTTCGGTAGGAGATACGAGGGTTGAAGGTAAACGCCTTGTTGGATGTTAACACTATATATTGTCAGACTGTGATGAGAGGTGGAAGCCCAGGCCTGCCCTGTTCTGCCTTGCTTGTGGGTGGTCCGTCGAGTGAGGAGGAGGCAGCTTGTCTCACTGACTCGTGCTGTATCCCGTGACGTCATACAGTCACTCGGCCTACTAGGGATCTTCTATATAAAGCACATGGATGGTACTATAATGCTCATCTAATCTATGCATACAACACATGTAGAGGATCAGCAACTATGCTGACACAGTAACTTGCATTTTGGTAGCAAAGTGTTCAGCAAAGAGGTCCGCTTTCCCTTGAATACTAGTAAAGGTGGTCCCATCCTGTCGATTTAGAGGTGGAATGAGTTCATCAGGCAGATAACCTTGTCTGTCCTTGACCAGGGACCACCAGGTTTTGGGGACTACTCTTCCTGATGCTAGCTTTCTTTTTGTGTTCACCTCCCATTTAGTGATGACCCACTTTTGAACTTCACCCATATGCCTACAGGCTTGCCTGTGCAAGTTCCTGTTGTAGGTAGTAGGATGTCTCATACCTTTGCCATGCCTTGTACTTAACCCTTTGAGGGTTTCGGACGTACTAGTACGGCTTACGACCCAGGGTTTTTGATGTACTAGTACGCCTAAATTCTAGCACCCTCAAATCTAGTGGGAGAAAGCTGGTAGGCCTCCATATGAAAGAATTGGTCTATGCGGTCAGTGTGCACGGTATAAAAAAAATCCTGCAGCACACAGTGCATAATGAGAAAAAAAAAACTTTGACCGTTTTTTTTGGAATAAAACAGCGACATTGCACTGTATTTTCGTATGGTATTTATTGTTGTATTCTAGTTTTCTTGGTCTCATTTTATAGAATGGAAGGCATATCATTTTGACTGGTTTTACAATGAAAAGTACCTTGAAATTGAGCTCAAAGTAGCAGAAATGTTCGATTTTTACCAAAGTTCAAAAGTAAACAAATCATGCCAAGCGTTCAATACACGTCAACTGGTGAGTCTAATATTCTTTTGCAAGTGCGCCAATATGGTTCATACCATTTTTTACACTAATGCAGTAGTCTGCATAACAGTAAATCTTCTATTTTTTGTGAGAATAAAAATTCAAAGTGGAAAGCAAAAGAATGTAAGAGGGGCCTTGAGACGTGGCTAATGAACAGAGGAAATGTCATTTTAGTGCCAGGAATGTATTTCTTGTTTGTTCTGGACCCTATTCGGAAATTGGCATCTTTTGAAATTTGTGTGAAATTGGTAAAATTGCTAAATTCTGACCACTGTACTGGATAGTTGAAATTAGTAAATGGGTGGTTTCTTGCACTCGTTCAATAGAAAAAATGGATTTCTAGCGAAATATTCATGTTTTTTGTCGACTAATACAGTGGAACTGGCCGAAAATGGGGCTCAAAGTGGGCAAAATCGCCGATCCGTAAACATCGCCGAGACCGCTAACTTTGCGAGAGCATAATTCCGTAAGTTTTCCATCAAATTTCATATTTTTGGTGTCATTATGATTGGGAAAAGATTCTCTATCTTTTCATTAGAAAAAATTATTTTTTTTTCTTTTTAAATTTGGCCGACCCTGAGAACGAGTCACGGAGAGGGCCTGTCAGCCCTCAGAGGGTTAAGAGTAGCAGCCTCTCTACAAAAAAAGCCAAACCAAGGCTGATCTGTAGGCTTCGTCACCTACTGCCCGTGAGGGGTGTGTTCTTGTTGTAGATTAAGGATGTGTCCAGTGAAGGCTTTCACTTGGTTGTCAACATTCCCTTGGAGAAGAGCATTCGAATTGGTGGTGGCGAGCTCAGAGCAAATGGCTGGCCAATTACCTCTTACCCATAGCCAGGTTGTGTATGTGGACTCCTCACCTCTTTTTGCTGGGATCTTAAGTGTCGTAAAAACATCCTTGTGGTCAGGCAATCCAACATAGCCAAGGGGTTGACAAGTGACTATACCTTCTGCCAGATCACTACTGGGTCAAGGGAGGCACCAGGAATGTGAGTAGGGAAATCAACAAAGTTGCTCGTGTCAAACATTGCAAGAATGCCATCAAAGTCCCTTTGTATAAGATGTTGGTTGAGGTCACCAACAATTATGATATGTTGACAGTTGTGTTGGTGCAGAGGAGAGTCCACATTTTCCATTAGGAAGTTGATGGAGTCTGCATGTTGCCACTGAGGTCTGTACATTGCACATACTAGTACAAAAGTACTAGTGCTTATGCATAGCTTGAAGAACATCATTTCAAGATGAGTAAGGATGGCAACATCAATGTGCTGGACATGTACACTTTTAGAAAAGCACACGACAGCAACACCTTGCTCTTGCCTGTCCCTCCTCATCCTTGAGGTGTAGCCAGCAATTCTTGCAAAATTTTATGGAGTTCTATCTTCCAAAAATGTTTCAACAACAGCTATTGTGTCAGGACGTCGAGTGTTCACAAAACTGTGTGAGAGCTCTCCAACATTGGTAATGAAACCTCCGATGTTGGTTAACAGGATGCTAATAGACTGGCTCCTCATAATGTGTTCAGCTTGTGGTGGTGGGTGTGTAAGGCTTGTAAGTTGCCTGCCCTTGAAAGAGGTAGGGCACCAAGGCAGTTGCTGGGATATATGTCTGTGGTCTTGTATAAGGCACAAAACCACCTGCTGGGCTGAGATAGGAGTAGCTGAGTGGGTGACGTGTGAGTGTGTTCACCAGTTCAGAGATCCTGCTGGTTTGTTCCTAGAGCAGGTCTCTAAAACAGGTGGTCCTGTCTGTCAAGTTCCTTTTTCTTGAGACACAGGTCCTCCTGATGTCCTTTCTTGTGGCAGTAATTGCACCTAGTATCTCGCAGGCATTTGTTAGTGGTGTGCCCCCTCCGATGACAGTGAGAGTACTGCCTAGGCGCCTGGGAGGGTGGATTCCTATTTGCTGCATCTCCTGTGTTTCGCTGCTGATTTGTCCGCAGGTTCTGCTGCTGGTGGGCCTGATGATTGTGTATCTGGTGAACGTTTTCCTGGGACTGTGTTGGTGGGAGGCGAGATGGCTGTAGATGTCTTCCTCCACATCCTCTTCCATGTCCTCTACCACTTCCCTGTACAGTTCTGACATGTGTCCCTGCTGTTCATACTTTGGCACAGCAGCTGTTCAGGTGCAGTGATAGTGCCCTGGTTATTAATTGCACCTGACTCAGTACTTGCAGATGAAGCACTATTGCCAGATGTTGGAGTAGTGTCAGCAGATGTGCTGACAGGTGTAGGATCAGTGATATGTGCACTGTCTAGTGTACTGGCAGGTGCTGAAGCAGTGATGTCAGATGTAGGAGAATTAACAGATCCAAGGCTTGCGTCGTTGCTGGGAAGATCTGTTCCCTCTGTGATGGTCAGAGGAATTGTTAAAATTCCTCTCTCCCTCTTTTTTTTTTTTTTTTTTTTTTTTCTCTCTCCTCTCTCTCTCCACAGGGTTTGACAAGGTTAGGTTAAGGATCCCTAATTTTATTGACAAGATAAGGAATCCTAATTTGATTGACATACTAAGAGCTGTTACCTACATCAGCTCATTTGAAAGCATTTTTATTGTTATGAAACATACAAGTAGGGAACAGGATGAAGTTCGAGCCATCTGTGGGCCAGCATTTTCATTTGATCAACTGACTTGATCTCATTGTCATTATGCTGTACGAACATGTTCCAGACTCGAGTCATCCTGGGGATAAATGCTCTCAGATGAAGAGGGTACCTCACCATACTTTTATTAAAAGCACCAACAACTCCAAAACTATATCCCCACCTGTTTTTTAACATTTCTATCTTTATCCCATCAATCCCAGCTACCTTACCCCCTTTCATTCTACACACTGCCTTACAAACTTCCCCCACTGGCTCTTACTCACTCTACAAGAGGTTATTCCTCCTTGCCCTATATGTGAAATCACAGCTTCCCTATCTTCATCAACATTTTACAGTTCCTCAAAATATTCCCTCCTCCTTCCTGATACCTCTAACTCTCCATTTAGTAACTCTTCTCTCCTATATTTAACTATCAAATCAACTCATTCCCTAGGCTTCTTCAACTTATTAATCTCACTCCAAAACTTTTTCATATTTTCAACAAAATTTGTTGATAACATCTCGCCCGCTCTCTCATTTGCTCTTTTTTTACATTGTTTCACCACTCTTTTAACCTTTTTTTTTTTTCTCTCCATATATTCCCCCCTCCTTGCATCATTGCTACTTTGTAAAAACCTCTCATATGCCAACATTTTCTCACTTACTACTCTCTTTACACCATCATTCCACCAGTCACTCTTCCCTCCCACACCCACTTTCCTATAACCACAAACATCTGCTGAACACTCTTACCACTACATTCTTAAACCTACCCCAAACATTTTCAACCCCATTGCCTATACTCGCACTAGCCCATCTATCCTCCAATAGTTGTTTATAAGTTATCATAACTGCCTCCTCCTTTAGGCTTTAAACCTTCACCTCTCTCTACTTGCTGCTTCTATTTTCCTTGTATCCCATCTACCTTTTATTCTCACTGCAGCTACAACTAAAAAGTGATCTGATATATCTGTGCCCCCTCTATAAACATGTACATCCTGAAGTCTACTCAAGTCTTTTATCTACCAATATGTAGTCCAACAAACTGTCGTTATGCCCTACATCATATCTTGTATACTTATCCTCTTTTCCTTAAAATATGTATTATCTATAACCAAACCCCTTTCTATACAAAGTTCAGTCAAAGGGCTCCCATTATCATTGTGTTTGTGTTTAAATATGTGTATGCAGAATTTCTAAATAGGAGACTATTTTTTGTTGAATATTGCAGATTGTAACAGATGTTGAAGAAGCTGATTTAGCAAGACAACTAGAGAAAGCAGAGGAAGAAAATAGGGAAGTTGCTGGTGATGATGATGAAGAGGAGGAGGAAATTGGTATGGGTGGCATAGATGTTGATAGTGAAGGTGAAGAAATTAAAGAAGAAAAAGAAAATGATGTAGATGAACAGTAATAAAGTTTGAAAAGTAGAATGACAATTTAGTGAATTTTGGAATTTTTAAAATATCTTTAAGCTGAAGAATGGCTTTATTCATCAAAATTTGTCTTGATCTCTCTAAATTTTCTTTGCAGATAAAACCTGTAGGGGTTTTCATTTTTTTTTTATTTGTGGACTTAAAAATGTTTCAGAATAATGGAAGGCAAGTCTTTAAAATTTATCGTTAGTTACTAATACAGATATTTAAGATACGCTGTTCAATTGTTGTAATTAGCTTATTTAATACAGTACAGTATTTGGACTTAAAATTGTATTTCCTTCTGTTGTGACATAACAGTAGTTAAGTACTGTATGGTATGTTTGACTTTATTTTTAATTAAATGTTACATTAATAAGGTAACAATTTTAAGTTACATAAATTGTATCAAATTATTTTTTTTATTATTTATTATCACACCGGCCGATTCCCACCAAGGCAGGGTGGCCCGAAAAAGAAAAACTTTCACCATCATTCACTCCATCACTGTCTTGCCAGAAGGGTGCTTTACACTACAGTTTTTAAACTGCAACATTAACACCCCTCCTTCAGAGTGCAGGCACTGTACTTCCCATCTCCAGGACTCAAGTCCGGCCTGCCGGTTTCCCTGAATCCCTTCATAAATGTTACTTTGCTCACACTCCAACAGCACGTCAAGTATTAAAAAACCATTTGTCTCCATTCACTCCTATCAAACACGCTCACGCATGCCTGCTGGAAGTCCAAGCCCCTCGCACACAAAACCTCCTTTACCCCCTCCCTCCAACCCTTCCTAGGCCGACCCCTACCCCGCCTTCCTTCCACTACAGACTGATACACTCTTGAAGTCATTCTGTTTCGCTCCATTCTCTCTACATGTCCGAACCACCTCAACAACCCTTCCTCAGCCCTCTGGACAACAGTTTTGGTAATCCCGCACCTCCTCCTAACTTCCAAACTACGAATTCTCTGCATTATATTCACACCACACATTGCCCTCAGACATGACATCTCCACTGCCTCCAGCCTTCTCCTCGCTGCAACATTCATCACCCACGCTTCACACCCATATAAGAGCGTTGGTAAAACTATACTCTCATACATTCCCCTCTTTGCCTCCAAGGACAAAGTTCTTTGTCTCCACAGACTCCTAAGTGCACCACTCACTCTTTTTCCCTCATCAATTCTATGATTCACCTCATCTTTCATAGACCCATCCGCTGACACGTCCACTCCCAAATATCTGAATACGTTCACCTCCTCCATACTCTCTCCCTCCAATCTGATATTCAATCTTTCATCACCTAATCTTTTTGTTATCCTCATAACCTTACTCTTTCCTGTATTCACCTTTAATTTTCTTCATTGATGCCTTTAATTTCCCTTGAAAAATACCATTAATCTTCATGCCTCCATTGTCTTTTTTTCATTCCTCCATTTTTTTATTTTCTTGAAAAACACTTATCCTGCCTCAAGTTTTCACATAAAAATAATTTGACTGCGACATAAATTTGGTTTTCCACATAACAAATTTGCTTGAATATTTTTGACGAAGCTTTACACCACAACACAGTGTTCCATGTTATAAAGGAATCTAGAACTCTTAGAATATTCAGAACACGATCACAGCGGCTCAAGCTTTATAAATTATTTTGTCAATTTTCAATATACAAATATAATTATACTACTAAGAAAAATTTGTCTTAAACATAATTTTGAACTTGCACCTTTACATTTTTTTTTTTTTTTTTCTCTTTTGTCTTACAAATTAACACCAGTTTTGTGGTGTTTTTTCCTTAGTGATGTTGCATCACAAATAGGCTATTTTGTACTTTTCATCTAAGGAAAATATATTATTAAATGAATCTAAAAGCAACTTTTATTTCTCACACATACATTTTTCAGATTTAATAGTTTAGTTTATTCATCCAATAACTTACTGTAGTTCCTTTCTTGGTATTTTAGGAGTACTTGGGTAATTATTTAAAGATTTGTAAGATAAATCTCACTGTTCACAGACTATTATGGTTTTCCTACTTAACTCCAGAATCTCTCTCAAACTCTTGCCAAATATTGGTGTGATATTGGAGTGACATCTAAAGTGTCATATCTGGGTGCCTCTGCAAAGACTGATTGTGTGAATGATGGTGAAAGTGTTTTTCGTTTTTGGGTCACCCTGCCTCGGTGGGAGACTGCCACTGTTTTGAACAATGACCTTTTATAATGCATATAATTGAAGAGAATGGGGAATATATACGATAGTGTGCTAGAGAAAGACGTGAAAGTATACCATAAAATTAGGGCAGATGATGTGCATAGCTAAGAAGCTAGGTAAAAATGTTAATACTTAAAATATGTAAATACAGTACACACATGTGGGTATTAAGACCTTAATTAAGGAAACATTTTTGCCCACTAGGGTTTTATCAGTCTCCAGAGGATGAGTAAGATGATATAAATAGAGGCAGAGGTCTGGGCTGTGAGAGAAAGGGCAGGGGAAAATGATGGTTGCGTTTTGCTCAGGTAGAATGAGTTGTGCGTGATTTTCATTGCTGAAGCTTCCAATATTTTTTACTATGCTAGTGATGCTTCTAAACAGCAGCAATTGTGATTTACCGATTCTCTGATGGTGAGTGTGGCATTATGCAAATTCTTGAGGTAGCCACAGGTGTTGTGGCGAATGGCAGAAGCTTTTCTCAAGTCTCTCTGGTATGCATAAATGTTCTTTTATACATGTAGCAAGACTTTTGAAAGTTTTCTGAACATGTATTTTGTTATATATATCACATGGAATGGTGTAAACCCCAGCATTCGCTTCCTTGCATTTTGCATTTCCTGCAGATACTAGATACAGATACTAGGGATTCAGGGAAACAGGTTGTTTTTGTATAGCCAGACCTGAGTACTGGAAATGGGAAGTACAATGCCTTCACTTTAAAGGGGGGGTTTGGGATATTGGCAGTTTGGAGGGGTATGTTTTATATATACTTCTAAACTCTTGTATCTGGGCACCTCTGCAAAGACAGTGATTATGTGTGAGTGAGGTGAAAATGTTGAATGATGATGAAAGTATTTTCTTCTTGGGGATTTTTCTTTTTGGGTCACCCTGCCTCAGTGGAAGATGGCCAACTTGTTGGAAAAAAAAAAACTATATCCTTAATAGTGCTAGATGTTGAGTTAGCAATTTTGCTTTTGCCTTTACAAATACTGTTGTGTTAGAGATCCAGTTGGAAGGCAGAGCTCTGAACCAGTGTGGTTGTCATCACCTAGCTGTTCTGGTGATAATTCCTGCTTTCCTCCTACAGTTGATAAAATAGGCAGGGTATATCTGGAGAAGGGTTTCGAGGATCAATGTTCCCCACGGCCCAGTCTTTGACCAGACCTCAAGGTCTGGTCACACAGGTGTGTATGTTTGTATTTCTACTATAAATATGGCATGCAAGAGTTCCTGAATGCTGTCTTAAAAGAAACCAGCGATGATGCCTCTTAACTCTTTCACTGTCGGTCCCCTAATATTACAGCTTTAAAGCCAGTGTCGGTCCCGTAATACTACGCCAAAATTCTAGTGGCTTTCAGTGGTCAGTGTGCACAGTATAAAACAAATCCTGATCACACAGTGCATAATGAAAAAAACTGCAACCATGTTTTTGGTTTAAAACAGCAACTTTGCAGTGTATTTTCACATGGTATTTATGGTAGTATTCTCTTTTTCTTGGTCTCATCTGATAGAATAGAAGATATATTACAGAAATATAGATGATTTTGAATGGTTTACAGACTTAAAGTGCCTTGAAATTGAGCTCAAAGTAGTGGAAATATTCGATTTTTGCCGATGTTCAAGAGTAAACAAATCACATCACACATCCAGTACATGTCAACTGGTGGGTCTAATATGCATTCACAAATGCTCTAATGTTATTTATACCATTTTTACAATAATGCAGTAGTCTGTATAACAGTAACTCTTCTATTTTTTTGTGTTTACCTGGAGAGAGTTTCAGGGGTCAACACCCCCGTGGCCCGGTTTGAGACCAGGTGTTATGTTGTTGTCCTTTATTACTTTGATAGTAAGGTTCTCACTACATGTTCTAGTGTGGGGGTAGCTTTTACATAAAGGCCTTAGTATTCTAAGGTAATACTTAATGACTGATCATCCTTAGTGTCTCTGATATCCTTTCACCAGCCCTCTTCACAGGTTATTTAAACTACTACTATAAAAATATAACTGTATTCTAAATAGATATGTACAGAATATACAATTACAGCACTCACATATTCAAAACATAAGCCTGCACACCCCTTAGCTGCTCTTCTAAGACAGCCCACATGGTGCATCTGGACAAAATTGCCCTTCTTTCTTCTGGACTAATCTCTGGACTAACCAGTGTTTTGACACACTTTAGTCACCCTGGGTATGGTGACCACAACTTAAGTTATAAAAACTCACCCCTGGGGCACACATAATGCCCAAAAAATAGAAAGGACCCAGAGGTCCTACCAGCTTGAAGTCCACAAAGAGAGAGGGGGAGAGGGAGGGGAAGGAGCCTAGCTCAGCTCTTCCCACACCTACCAAAAACCAAATGACTGTTGCCAGGCACAAATCTCTAGTTACTACAATTCTTCCACACCTTATTTTACTGTTGCAAAAAGAAATACAACTTTATAAACTATTTTTAAATTGTGTGCGTGTGTGTGTGTATAGTATAACCTATTAGAAAAACAGGCTTGACTCAGCTGCCTTACAGCCATAAGGGTGATCTGCCCTTATGACATTTAGGCTGAGTTCCCATAATTCAATATAATTAGGTATTCCAGAGTAACTGTTACTTATAGATACATGTTGGGTCCTATAGCCCCATAACACCAGGCCTCATGGTAGATCAGGGTCTGATCAACCAGGCTGTTACTGCTGGTCGCATGCAAGATGACATACGAACCACAGCCCAGTTGGTCAGGTACTGACTTGAGGTACCTGTCCAATGCCTTCTTGAAGACAGCCAGAGGTCTATTGGTAATTCCCTTTATGTATGCTGAGAGGCAATTGAACAGTCTTGGGCCCCAGACACTTATTGTGTTCTCTCAGTGTACCCGTGGCACCCCTGCTTTTCATCGGGGAAATGTTGCATCTCCTGCCAAGTCTTTTGCTCTCATAGGAAGTGATTTTCGTGTGCAGGTTTGGTACCAATTCCTCCAGGACCTTCCAAGTGTATATTATCATGTATTTCTCTCTTCTTGCCTGCGTTCGAGGGAATACAGATCAAGGACCTTCAACCGTTCCCAGTAGTTTAGGTGCCTTATCGTAATTGTGTGTGCTGTGAAAGTTCTTTGTACACTCTCCAGGTCTGCAATGTCGCCAGCCTTGAAGGGGGCCGTTAGTGTACAGCAGTATTCCAACCTAGAGAGCACAAGCGATTTGAAGAGAATCATCATGGGCTTGGCATCCCTAGTTTAGAAGGTTCTCATTATCCATCCTATCATTTTCCTAGCGCAGGAGGTAGATACATTGTTGTGGTCTTTGAAGGCAAGATCCTCTGACATCACTCCCAAGTCCTTCATATTACTTTTCTGCTCTGTTGTATTGTTGAATTTGTATACCCTGACACATTTTTAATTTCTTCAAGTTTCACTTATCTGAGTAGTTGAAATTTCTCCTCATTGAACTTCATATTGTTTTGAGTGGTCCATTCGAAGATTTGGTTGATGTCCACTTGGTGTCTTCGATGGAGGTCACTGCCATGGTAATCCGGGTGTCATCTGCAAAGGAAGACACGGAGCTATGGCTTACAACTCTGTCTATGTCAGAAATGAGGATGAGGAATAGAATGGGAGGAGGTACTGTGCCTTGTGGAACAGCTTTTTACCATGGCTGCATGGGACTTTACTTTGTTTACTATTACTCTTTGTGTTATATTTGTCAGAAAGTTGTAGATCCATCTACCAACTTTTCCCGTTATTCCTTTATCACGCGTTTTGTGTGCTATTACACCATGGTCGCACTTGTTGAAAGCTTTTACAAAGTCTGTGTATACTACATCTGTATATTGTTTATCCTCTACAGCATCCAGGACCTTGTCATAGTGGTCCAGTAGCTGGGACATGCAGGAGCAACCTGCTCTAAACCCGTGTTGCCCTGGGTTGTGTAACTGATGGGTATCTAGGTGGTTGGCGATCTTACTTCTTAGAACCCTCTCAAAGATTTTTATGATATGGGATGTTAATGCTATTGGTCTGTAGTTCTTTGCAATTGCTTTACTGCCACCTCTGTGGAGTGGGCCTATGTCTGTTGTTTTTAGTGTGTATGGGATGACCCTTGTGTCCATGCTTCCCATAAAATGCTGAAGGCATGCGATAGGGGCTTCTTGCAATTCTTGATGAACACAGAGTTTCACGAGTCTGGGCCTGGGGCAGAGTGCATGGGCATGTCATTAATTGCCTCTTCAAAGTCTTGTGGAGTTAGAATAATATCTGAGATTTTGGGGATGACCAAATTTTG